CCTTCCTTGATATGTCCTTATCTGGTTTGGGCTTTATGGAATGAATTAGGGTATGTTCTATTCCTTTCTGTTTCATGGAATAATTTGAAAGTACTGGCATTAGTTCTAAAGAAGGTTTGGTAAATTTCTGCTGAGAATCCATCTGGTCCTAGGTTTTTCTTTGTTAAAAGGCTTTTTTATTACTGCTTGTATCTCATTACAAGTTATTGGTCTGTTTAGTTTTTCTATGTCCTTTTGATTTAGTTTTGATAGATCATATTTGTCTAGAGATGGTTTTCCAATTTATTGGAGAATAAGTTTTCAAAATAGTCCCTAAAGATCTGCTGAATTTCTGAGATGTCTGTGGTGATTTGTCCCTTTTCATCTCTAATTTTATTAATTTTTTTTTTCCTTTTCCTTTTGGTTAATTTGTCTAAGGTCTTATCACTCTCGATTATCTTTTCAAAGAACCAACTCTTTGTTTCATCAATCCTTTGTATTTTTGTTTTATTCTCAAATTCATTGATTTTGGCTCTGATCTTAATTATTTTCTTCCTCCTACTAGTTTTGGTATTGGTTTGTTTTTCTTTCTCATCTCTTTGAGATGTATCATTAGGTTGTTTATTTGGAATCTAATTTTCATATGTAGGCACTCCTAGCTTAAACTTTCCTCTTACAATTATAATTCATAGTGCCCCAGAGGTTCTGGTGTGTTGTGTCACTCTTCTCATTTGAGTGTAAGAATTTTTTAATTTCTCCCTTGATTTCTTCTGTCATTCATTCATCATTCAAAGTGGTATTGTTCAACCTCCATGTGTTTAGATAGTTTCTGTAGGGTTTTGGTGTATTGATTTCTAATTTCATTCCATTATGACCTGATAAGATGAAAGGAATTATATCAGATTTTTTGTATTTGCTAAGAGATTTTTTGTTATTTTTTTTAGTTATACATGATAACAGAATATACTGTGACATAATTATAAAAGCATAAAATATAATTTGTTCTACTTTAGCCCCCAGTATTTCCCCTACCTCTCCCTTCCTCCCATCCCCATTTCATTCCCTCTACTCTACTGTTCTTTTGGCTAAGAGTTGCTTTGTGGCCTAAAATATGGTTTATTTTGGAGAAGGTTCCATGAGCCACTGAAAAGAATGTGTATTCAGCTGTTGTTGGATGCAATATTCTATTGAGGTCTGTTAGGGCCATTTGATTTATAATATTTTTCAAGTCTAGAGAGTCTTTACTGAGTGTATGTCTGGATGACCTATTTGATAGTGAAAGTGATGTATTGAAATTACCCAGAATTTTTGTACTGAGGTCTGTCTGGGGCTTCAGTTTGAGTAGTGTCTCTTTCTTGTAATTAGTTGCACCCATGTTTGGGGCATAAATATTTATTATTGTTATATCTTCTTGTTTGATTGTCCCTTTACCAATATGAAATGACCTTCTTTGTCTCTTCTGATTAATTTAGGCATGAAATCAACTTTGTCAGATATGAGAGTAACTATTCCTGCTACTAGCTATAGTAGCTATTTCTGTGGCTCCATTCACAAAGTATATCAATTTATATTCATTCACTTTCATACTGTAGCAGTCTTTGCCTGTAAGGTGTGTCTCTTGCAAATAGCATATAGGTAGGTCTTGATTTTTAATCCATTCTGCCAGCCTGTGTCTTAATTGGAGAGTTAAAACCATTTACATTTGATGTTATTATAGACAGATATTTATTAATTCCTGACACTTCTCATTTGATTCGCTACTCTTCAAATGAGATGTGTTTTCTTTGTGAGCTCTAAGAGGTTTTTTTTTAATTTCTTCTTTGTGCAGTATTTTTTAAAATGAGGTTTTGTAATGCCAGTGTAGTAGTCATAAATTGTTTTAATTTCTGCTTATTATGGAAGGTTTTTATTTAATTTTCAATTTTGAATGATTGCTGTGCTGGATATAGAAATCTGGGTTGACAACTATTTTCTTTCATGACTTGGAACACTTCATTTCAAGCCCTCCTGGCTTGTAGAGTTTGTGCTGAGAAATCAGAAGTGCTTCTGATTGGCTTGCCTCTATATGTGACCTGACATTTTTCTCTTGAAGCTATTAAAAGTCTATCCTTGTTCTGTATGTTAAGCATTTAATTATAATGTCTTGTGGAAAGGTTCTTTTTTGATCTTGTCTGTTTGGGGTTCTGAATGCCTCCTGTATTTGGATGTAAATCTCATTCTAAGGTTTGGAAAACATTCTATTATTATTTCCCTGAAGAGTTTATCCACTCCATTAGCCTACATCTCAAAGCCCTCCTCAATTCTAATGATTCTTAAATTTGGTCTCTTCATCTTGCCCCAGAGCTCATATATATTCTGATCATGGTTCCTTTTTTTTTTTTTTCTTTAATACTGTCTCAGTGTTCAAGACTGGCCACTTTGTCTTTCACCTTTGTGATTCTGCCTTCAGCATGGTCTACTCTCTTTAAAAAACTTTCAGCTGAACATTTTATTGATTTATTGACTTTCATTTCCAAGATTTCTGTTTGGTTCTTTTAAAATATTTCTATCTCCTTTATTTCTCATTCATATTCTGTACTGACTTCCTTAATTCATTTCATTGTTGTTTTGTGTGTGTGTGTGTGTGTGTGTGTTCTCTTGGAATTAATTAATCATTTTTATATATTTTTAAAAATTCCTTATCTGATATTTCATCCATGTAAATATTTTTGTGATCATTTGCTGATGAATTATGACCTTTAGGAGGTATTGTGTTAGCTTGCTTTTTCATGGTTCTTGTATTCATGTGTTGTGTTTTATGTATCGTTGGAAGGAATTTCTCTTCCACTCTTATGTGTGGACCTTTTTAGGGTACAGTCTTCACTTGCCAAAGTGTCCTCAGTGATAAAAATTGAAACCCCCCCCCCCATAGGTGTGGTGTCCGCAGCCTTTGTGTTATTTCTCTCTGTTTTTGCTATAGCAGTGTATGTCTTTAGATGGGACCTGGGGGTTCACCCCTAGCCATTTCTACTTGGGGCCTACTCAATTAGTTTGCGTTTTTGTCTCTTCTATTCTTTGTTTTAAAGTATAGCTGAAGACTGAATATTATTAATTTGCTGTGGAGCAAGGTGTGCTGTCTTTTGGTTGAATTTACTTTAGCAGCAGAGTTTCTACCCTGAGAACTTGTACTGTCCCTATAGGTTCCCAGCATCCCCACAGAATGGGGGGAAACAAAAATAGCAACAACCAATGCAAACAATATACAGCATTACACTAAATATATGGTTCCTACTATGTCGTCTACAATATTAATTGACACAAAAACCAAAATGGTAGGGTTAGCAGTTGTCAACAGCAAAAACAGTAAGTAGCTATGGACTATGTCTGGCATTAAAACAAACAATAGGTGTCAACTATGTTATCCCATCAGTAATAACTGCAACAGCATTAATGGTGGAGGGCAGGAGTTTTAGAAACCAATTAGTGCTAAAAGATAGTAAGAATATAGTTAATCAAGAGCAAAGAAAAATGTGATAGGAAGGTAGAAAAGACTTTACAATTTCAAAAAGTGAAAAGAGAATGCAGAAGAGATGTAGTATGTCATGGTTATAAGAAAGGAGGAGAAAAAATAAAAGTAACAAAATAAAAGGAGAGTTAAAGAACAATAGAATTTGACTATTAGCAGAAGAAAAGAAAGAGAAACAAGTGAAAAACAATATAAAACAAAACCAAAACCTAAATATACTAATCAAGAACTCTAATCCTCAAAAAAAGATAAGGCAAAGAAAAATAACTGCATTTTAAAAAATGCTAAAAATGAGAAAAAAAGAAACAAATATGTGTATGTATCCATTAACCAAATGTGCGTGCGCGCGCGCACACACACACACAAGAAAGAAAGAAAGGAAAAAGATTCTTAATGAAAAATGAAGGAATTATTTCCACTGAAGTGGTCAAAATAGTCAGTGAGAACAAATGGTCACTGTCTATGCCCAAATGTCTTTTTTTTCCATTTCTTCTTGAGCTATGAACTGAATGCAAGAGCAAGGACTAAGGGTTGCTAAACCTTCCCTCTTTTTGTATTGCTCACCAAGGTGCCAGTTGGAGTGGCCTAAGATGGAGTCTGGTTCAAATAAGTCTCAGCTGGATGGGAAGTACTGTCAGTTGGAGTTTTGTCTGCCCAGACCAGACTGATGACAGGGTGGGGCTGCTGCAGAGTTCTAACAGTGGGATTCCGCAAGTGGAGCTTAGGTCTAATCAGGCCTTAGGGGCTTCATTGGATGGTGTTTGCTCTGGAGAGAGTATATCAACACACCCCTAAGGCCTGGAAGTTGCAGATCTCTGTGAGAAGTTTGGATCTCCAGAACTTCTCAAGGATTATACTTGGGTGAGGGAGGCAATCCTTTACCCCTTCTTCCCATGAACGCAGCCTTTCCCAGTTTTAGTCCTTTAGTGTATTCACACCCACCTGTTCAGATTCCTTACCCACTTAAGCTGGTCATGTGAGTTAACAGACTCAATGGGGGGAAGTGAGTTGGGCTCCCTTTCACTTTTGCAATTTGAATCCCTCTGGGTAAGATATTCTGTGTGCCTGTTCTTTTACCCTTCTTCTAGGTACACCCTAGATCACCCAGCAGGCCTTTCAAAGAAACAGTGCACAGTATAGCCTCTGGATCAGCTAAGGGCAGGCTGCTTTTCTGATCTCAGGTGCTTCTGTGTGTTCTTCCTCCCTCTGTGCCAAATAAGTGCCACTACTGATTCTGACACAACTGGCTTGGCTCCAATGTAGTCTTTTTTTCTTTGTTTAATGTACCCAAATTTCTGAGTCTCTCAGACACTCTGACAATCCAATATTTAGTTTTAGTGAAATTCTTTTTTCACCTACCTCGTAGAGAAACAGTTCTCCTACTGCTTGAATCCCGTGCCATGGAGCAGCTAGGAATGCAGTCTTCCTCTAGCTCACCATCTTGAAACTCCCTCCTGAAGTCCTTGATACATTGTAAAATATGCATGATATACATAAGTATAACTCTACTAAGCCATTAATCTGGACTGTCTAAAAGTTAAATGTGAGTATAATAAACAGATCATTTTTTGTTATTTTTGCTTAGAAGTCTAGAAAATGAGAAGTTATAAAGTTTAAGGGTAGCATTTCTTTATAAAACTGTCCATGAACATTTAAATTCATGCCTTCTTTTACCTATTAAAGTACCTTTTTCCTTGTAAAAAGAAAAGACATTAATAATAATTCTTTAACTGTATGGCACTTCCTATCTGCTTACACTGAACTTTTACGTCTATTGTCTATCATTTTACTGACTAAAACTATTTTTGAAGTTGAAATTGTTCATTTTAGAGTTAGTCACTGGAGCATCTTAATATTTGGAGGCTTCACTAAGGACAGTAAGGGGAATAAATTTGCTAAAAAAAACAAATAGGAGGGCAGTAGTGAAAGGAGGTGAAATAGTCTTCTTTCTATTGTAATCATTGCAATATGGTGTTTATAGACTAATTCCTTTGCAATTCTTTTGTGAATCATGGTAAATTGTCAGGAACTTTGACCCATGAGCATGCTTTTCCACTGTTTTTGTCTAATTGTGATAAACTGTTCACACTGAGCTTGTCTCTTGCTTTTGTACTTCACTCATAACCTGTTAAAATATTTTACCATTTACTTTGACACCTTACTATCAGAAATGGTTATCATGTGATCTATTTAAATATTTATTATGTGTTTATTCTTACAGTGGGGTACTAGGTTAAGAAGCTACATATGCTTTCTCACTTCGATGAGTTGTTAATTTATTACTAATAGTTTTCCACTGGGCTTTGAAGCTGCTGAACAGTGTTAGTAGGTAGATTATAGGTAGAATGTAAAAGAATTCTTTATGAATGCATATTTATCAAATAACTGCATTTACTTAGAGTATATTTTGATAATCTATAGAAGAAATTATCATGGATCCAGTCACTCCTTAGTGAATTCCTTTCTGTAATGATTTAAATAAGACTGGTTTTATTTGAAAATTATAAAACATTTGAAAACAAATATGCTGACTTGCATTATTAAAGCTATAACTATTTAAATTATATTTTAATCTTTAGAACTGTTTTTGTGATTCTGCTGAATGAGTCTTACAGAACTAACCAATAGAATTTGCAGACTTGGGGATTCAAGATACTTTATGTCTTAAATAAAAGGTTTATAAGATTTTACTTTTTATTTCTGAATATTTTTTTATAGTACACTTAATGTAATTGATTCATTCATTTGCATGCTCTAGTTGTGTATAAGTGTTGCAAGTACTTATTATGGTGGAATTGTTTTCTTCTTTTAAGGAGGGATCTATAAACTTTTTCTGTGGATGGCCAGATGGGAAATATTTTACACCTTGCAGGCCATATGTCTCTGTCATGAATAGTGCAAAAACAGCCACAGACATGGGCTGGGGATGTAGCTTTGCAGTAGAGCACCTGCCTACCATGGGTGAGGTTCTGAGTTCAATCCCTAGCACCAGAAAAATAAAAATAAAACAAACAAACAATAGCAACAACAAAACGAGCCACAGACAATACATTAATGAGTGGATGTGTCCGTGTTGCAGTAAAACTTTATTTACAAAAACAGCAGTAGATAGGATTTGGCCTGTGAGCAGCAGTTTGCCAATTCCTGCTCTAAACTGTTGAGTCTGTGATTTCTCCAAATAAGGCCATTTTGTATTTGGAAATAAAGTGTAAATTTCTTCATAGTTTCTCCTCTTTTCTTTAAAATTAACAGCAATATTTTGATTCCAAATACTAACAGTATAGAGAAAGAATATTCTAAAGATACTTTGGAAGGGAATGAGTTAACTGAATTTTAAAAAGATATGCAACCTGTTTCTATAGATGTGTTCTCTCAGCACATCTGAGTATGCCTTAGTCTCTAGCTTTTCACTGATGAGCTCTGTGGGAGAAAGCCACAAAACTGGTAATTTGTACTTGCTCACTTCAGTGGTAGCTGTCGACCCTTTTATCTTCATTCAACTCCTTGTTAAGTTCCTCACAGTATCTGTTCCTTTGGTCATCACCTTGTATCCCCATCTAAGTCGTAGCATTTGATCTCACATCTCTTATTCAGCAAAGATGAGTGATGTCATCCAACATGAATCTTCTTTTGTTCTGTGTTCCTTTTCAAGGTAAAGATAAAATATCATAATTCCCTCTAAGATTACATGATTTTCTAATTCCCAGTTTAATTTGTAGTCTGGTTAAGTTGTTTTAACACCAGAATAATTATAGTCAGTCATGAGATTCTTTTCTGACTTAAAAGTTCTCCTAGAGAAAAGAATACATCTACTATTCCACAATATGTTTTCCAGGTACATATGAATAGTCTCTTAGTTCAAAAGGTAGTTACTTTTGTGCCTTAAAGTTACAATCTTTAGGATAGACAGTAAGTAATAGATAGTCCTCTAAGGCATTCCAGGCAAGTTAATAATGGTTATTTTTGACAATAAATATTTTTTTTGTTTTATTCTTCTTTTTAATTAGAAAAACTGATTCACCAGGGAATTCATCTAAAACTCTAACAAGAGCATCTTGTTATCTAGCCTGGGGATGTCTAATCAGAACTGGGTAGCAGTATTATAAGGCTCTCTCCAGGCCGTTTTCAGGGTTTGGATGAAAGTCTTAAGAGAAAGGAGCGGTTTTGGTATAGGCAAATATACCAAGAGTACATCATGATTTGGCATTGACCATGCTTCAGGGTCAGAACTAAGCTAAGCCTATTGCTGGTTCTGCAGTATTCCTAGTTCCTGTGCAGATCACTGCACCTTCAGAAGTCCTAGTTCAAAACAGAGTGATCTACAAGATCCTGAGGGAGGAATAAAATGTCTAGGTTGGAGGGTGAAGGTTGAAAGAAATAAATTAAAAGCATCTTTTTTAAAAGAAATAAAAATTATGCAGTATAAAGAAACTAATCAAGAACAAGTAGTTGTAAAAAAGGACTGATTAGAAACCTAGGAAATAAATTGTACTTATTGGAATTTTAATTCCATAGATGAGATAAATTCTAAATTGGATGCAGAGATTTGCTAAATTAGAAAAGAAGTTTGAGGACTGTACTTAAGTTTGTAAAAATTGTGAATGTCAGATACTGCTGTAAGTTCTTTATATTTGTAAAATACACACCAGTTAATCCTCAAAGCTACCCTATTCATTCATTTAATAAATACATATTTACTGTGTTCCATACACTATATTATTTATCTCTTGTTATATATTTATTACTTTGAAACTTAGTGGTTTAAAACAACTTATATTTATTATCTCACACATAATCTTGGTAGTGTTTTATTAACTGGGTAGTGTTGACTCTAAGGACCATAGAAAGGCCTCAAAGGAAGCTGCCGCCAAGTTGTTACCTGGGACTCCAGTCATCCCAAAGTTTGACTACTAAGGGATCAGCTTCCAAACTCACTCTCATGACTATTGGCAGAGCTGTTCTTTAGCTCTTGGCCAGAGGCCTCTGTTTCTTTCTACATGAGAGTCTCCATAGGTTGCCTGAGTGTTCTTATGATATGGCACATGATTAATGGAGGAAAAAGGGAAGCTAATACAGGACCCACAGCCTTTTTACAACTGAATTAGTTAGGGTTCTCTAGAGAACAAAACTAATAGAAGACTTATTACTGTAAGCAACTGGCTCATGTGATTATGGGGGTGGCATGCCTCAAGGTCTCCAGGCTGAGCTGGCAAGCTGGAGACCCAGGAAAGCTAATAGTATAGCTCCACTATGAAAGCCAGCAGGAGTCTCAGGAAGAGCTGATATTCTGTTTATATCAAAGTCAGGACAAAGCCAGTGTCCCATTTTGAGAGCCATCAGGTGGGAAGAATTCTCCCTTATTTAGTTAAACAAAAGGGAAGGCAATCTGTTTTACTCAGTCTGTTAATTTAACTGTTAAGCTCACCCCAAACACAGCCTCATATAAACACCCAGAATAATATTTGTCCAAATGTTTGCAAGCCCAGTCAGGTTAATAAATAAAATTAATCACAATAACCTAATATCCAAAGTGGCACGCCATCACATCTGCTATATACTGTTGGTTAAAAGTAAGTCACTAAATCTATCACACCTATTACAGGGAAAGAAATTAAGCTCTACTCTGAAAGGAGGGAGCCTGGAATATCATATGGACTTTTTTTTTAAGCCACTGTAAGCACTGTAACTTGGGAAATTGTAATGTCCATTGAATATCAAAGTTCAGAAGAAAAACTGGAAGGAATGGTAGAAAAGTAATGTTCAAAAAGAATTGGTAAGAATCTTCACTTCTCATGAAGAACAATATGAGTCTTCAAATGAACTCAGAATATCAAGTAAAACTAATGAAAATTAATCTTGAGTGCTTATTTGGAGCTTCTAGCAGGGAACTCAGCTATTCATATACCCTTGATCAAAGAATGGTCCTTCTCTATTGAGGAAGGTCATCCTCTTTGAGTACACAGGTTCAGGAAGAATGTACATGGAGTGGTGAGGGAGGAAGGGGACACCCCTCTAACTAGCCAGATAAGCTGAATCAACCCTTGCAATCAATGGGGTAACAAATGTCTCAGCCAGACCATCCTCACAGCTGAAAATAAATCTTCCTAGACACAATTTAACAAAATTGTGATCTTTAAAAATAAAGAGACAAGAGCTATTGGCGGTGGTGGGGGTGGGGAGAAACCACTGTCCGCTGTGCACAAAAGAAGACAATTAGATTGGGAGTAGACTTCTTATTAAATAACAGTGGCTAATAATTAATGGAGTAATATTTTCAAAGTAGTAGAAGAAGATAACAGTTACCTTTAAGTTTTAAGCTTGGCTAAACTTACAGTCAAGATTGAGGATAAATAACATGTAAGTTGTTTAGCTTTGTGACTCAAATTTCTCACCTATAAATGGTAATAATGATTTTAGTTCATAAGTTATTATCTGTTCTGTTCACTGCTATATCCCAAGTGTCTGATACATAGTAGGCATTCATGACTATTTGTTAAGTGAATGAATGAATAGAGTTGTTGTGAATTTTAGTTAAAGAATTTAAAATCAGCAATGCATGACTTATCAATATGTACTCAGTAAATAATTGTTAAGATTTTACCACCCGTTAACTAAAAGAACTGTTTAAAAAAATTCTGTGAGGAGGTATCAAATGTAATAAATAATTATAAAAAATGATAAGATGCCAGTAAATTAATTAATGATTATGGGGTGGGGGGAGAAAGGGTAATCTTTTTGTATTATTTTGAAAAAGGTAAAACCAAAATTTAGAAGGTGATTCTTAAATTGATGTGAAAGAACAAAAAGGTCAAAAACAGCTGAGAGTGTTGAGGAATGAAGGATGTTTACCCTACTAGATTTTAAGGCTTATTACAAACAATAATGAGACTTAAGAGTTGGTGCAGGGAAAGGCAAATAGACCAGTGAAACAAAATGATCCAAAAGTATACACACACATATATGGAAATGCAACATATGACAGAAAGCATCACAAATCAAAGGATAAAGTAGACTTCAATAAATTGAACTGGACAAGGGGTGAGGATGAAATATTATATTCTGTCATATATAAAAACTGTTCATTAAGAACTTAATGGCAAAATGAAGACTTTAAAGCTGTTATTTTATTAAAAAGAATATTTTGTTTTGAGTAAAGAACTGTTTAAAGGGGCTGGGGTTGTGGCTCAGTGGTAGAGTGCTCACCTAGAATGCACAAGGCACTGGGTTTGATCCTCAGCACCACATAAATGTAAAATAAAGATTTTGTGTCCACCTAAAACTAAAAAATAAGTATTAAAAAAAGAACTGTTTAAAGACAGCAGAATGCAAGCATAAGGGAAAAAAGATTAATATGACCACATTAAATTTTAAAATATGCACATCTCAAAAGATCCTCTATAGAGGATCAGATTTAGAGAAGGTATTTGTAATAACTATAGCTAACAAAGATCCTATATATGCATACACATATGCATATATCATACTTAAAGAATTCCTGAAAATTAAGGAAAAAACAGCCAGTGGAAAAATCAGCAAAGAATATAATTATGTAATTTACAGAGCAAGAAATATGAGTGGCCAATAAACATATAGAAAGACTCTCATCCTCACCAGTGATCATACTACTTAAAATTATACCATTCCATATTCATCAGAGGGATAATTGTTAGAAGGGATGAAAAGACAGTTGTGTTGACAAAGATGTAATAAACTAAAAATACCACTTATTTAAATTAGTATGACTCAAATATTAAATAGAGCTATTTTGCTGAATTGTATAAAGTAAGAGCATACCAAAACATGTAGAAATTGTTACTCTGAGGTGTGCTCTAGAGAAATGTTCTTCTATATGGACAAGAAAGTACATTTAAGAATGTTTATTATAACACTTTTGTAATAGGGAAAATTGTAAACAACTGCTCATCAAATGAGAGTATATGTTGTAATTTATTTCTAAAATGGAATATTATACAACATTTAAAATCAGTGAACTAGAACTATATGTAGCAACGTGGACAAATACCTTACAAAACAAATGAGGAAGATGAGAAATACACATATGCATATACCATGAATACCAATATTAAATACTAACTATGGATGTATCGAGTGTAGTAAAATTATATCACCTGTGTGTGTTTTGAGGTGGGGGGTATCTCCAACATAAGTGGCCTACCACTGAGTTTTAAAAATTATATTTTAAAGTTATGTTTCCTAGGCTGGCCTCAAATTTGCTATCTTCCTACCTCAGCTTCCTGAGTGTCTGGAATTATAGGCATGCACCACAGTGCCCAGCTTCAAATATGTTTTTAAACACCAAGTCATTATAAAGTTACTTATGAGGAACTATATGTATGGATGGAGAGATATAAAAATAGAGATATTAGTAAAGAAGGCAAAATGTTAGTTGATAAATTTGAGTATTGACTACATGGGTATTATATTGGATCCTATACTTGTCCATATACTTGAGATTCTTCATAATAAATCATTTTAAAATAAACCACAAAACATGGTTCATGAACTATTTGTAGACCTCCACATGTGTATGTATATATTTTTTTAAATTTAAAATTTCTTACTCTTTAGAAAGTCTCTAATGTATTCTGGGTCTTGCTCATGGGAAAGTTTTATAAAACAACTTTCTTATAAGGATTTGTTATTCTAATAAAAAACAAATCAAATGTTCTATATTTGATAGTAAGTGAGAATGGCTTAAATATATGGAGAACTTCAAAGTTAGTTTATCTTAATATACTGTTTCTAATGTTAATATTCTAAGAGCTACATGGGATTGTCTTATAAATGTTATGGTAAAACAAGTATAAAATCAATGTGAACTTTTTTTTTTTTTGCTTAAATTTAAAGAAATGCTCAAGAGGGAAGTAATTAGACTAAAGTCTAATATTCCTCTGGATCTTATTATAACCATTAATATATATTTTTGCTTTAAATAAACTGATTTTTATGTAAAATTCTTTCTTTATTTTCTCAATGAAAATCTTATCTGAGATTTGACTAAACGTTTTGTGTTACCATTGACACATTCTTCACCCCCCAGTGTGTTCAGTAGCTGAACATATTATGTAAGCTTTAACCTAGGTTGTATAAGAGCTCAATTTTGTTAGATATAATTTAGGTCAGATGTTTAAAAAGTGATTTTGCTGTGTAAGTCTGAATAGTTTTCTCCTTAATTTACAAAAGAAATGCTAGAAATTTGGATATTTTACATTGCTTTATTTCTTTTTACAAATTTTCATTGTAGGTGTGCTATAAAATAGGATTTTAAAAATATTTGAGACTGGTATGATTATGTAGCAGTCTAGCATATCTTTGGGTTTCTTTAGTGGTGAGACCGTTTACATTGGACAAGTTAGATGGGCTTAAATGGCAAGAACATGACTAGAAAGTGCATGTTAGGTACATTTCAGTCAGCATGTTGCTACTGACAGGTGCTCAATGGTTGTTGGTATCCTTGTCAGCAAAGAGAATCCTTTGACATTAAAGTCACCAGCTTAGTCCTGATTTGGGGTGACTCTATTGGCAGTTCCATCAGACTGCAACTGATCAGTGAATGTCAGAGCTGCTGCTGTTTTTCAGGAGTGTCACTAGGCCCCTGTGGTGCATGCACGTGCGCACTCACTCTCCCTCTCTCTGCATGCTCGCTCGCTGTCTCTCATTCTGTCTTTGGAGGGAGGGGTGGTTTAATTTGTCTTATAACCAGGCTTTCAAATTGCTTTCCTCTGGGAAATAAACTGAGAGGTTACAGGGAATACAGTATCTTTGGAGCATGCAAAACCATATACAATGTGATGACTTACATGGAGACTAGTAATGATTACCTTGACTCCAAGCCAATCAATGGTGGGCGCACCTGGGGACTCATTAAATGGCATTTGTGGAATCTGTAACTTAGATTTTGAGCTGTATTTCAGGAAAAGCAGTGACAGCTTTTAATGTCTAATTGACCTCTTCTCTTTGTTTCACTTTCATTCACTTTCCATATTTGCCTCTGATGTGGTCCCCGATGGCAGCAAACAGCACTGCTCAGCATTTTGAACTTCTGTTCAGAGCTTCAGCACCTCAGTTTGGGCAGTTGTGTAATGGCAAGTATTTGAAAATTCTTTATATTCAATTGCTTTTTCTTTTTCTTCCCATGAGTGAATTTCCTGGTCCACTGCACCCAACATTTATCCACAGTTTCTGACTTATGGTTAACTGTTTTGTACCCCACTTTCAAACATTTTTCTTCAATTGGCGAGGATGTCTTTGAAACACTAACATTTATCAACAAGAGACATTTATCAACAAGAGTAAGAAAAGTACAGAGGGTGGAAAAAGTTCAGTTCTGCCCAAGCTAGCTGTTATCACAAACAAACTATTTACCTCTCTGGGTTTCTTTACAAAATAAGATATCAGTCATATCCATGTGTTAATAGTTTAATAATTTTTTACAAAGTTAATTTTAGTTTTTATAAATTCTTGGAATATTTCCAAGAAATATTGATGATAATAGACTTTTTTGTTTCTATAGAGTTTTTTATTTATTTTAACTGTCCTACTTGGCAAAATAAAAAGACCAACACCTTATATTAGAACTCAGTTGTTTTTGAAATTTTTACTCTGTGAAATCCAGAATCCTAGGAACTCTTAGACTAGATAGATAATTTCTAAAATTCTTCAAGATTCAAAATTGTGATTTCACATACCTCCATAAGAAGTTGTGAGAAAAATTAATTTTTTTTTCATCTAAACTACTTAATTATGTGGCTTACAAATAACACTGAGACTTACAAGATAATTGATTCTTGGGGTATGTGTATGTGCGTGTAAATACTCACCAGAAATGAATCTTACTGTGGAGCAATTAATTTCTCTTCACTTTTTTCAATACCTCTATCCAGAGCATATTTAGGAGATCCCCAGACCAGTCCAGTTTTGTATCCACTCAACAGAAAGACATGAATAAACAGTTCAGTTGCAATGTTCCAGAGAAATTCTGGCACCCTAGACTTGGAATCAACAGGCAGCATCTCTGACCTAAAAGACATTTCATTTGAGCATCTTTTAGAGCTTAGCAATGGCTTCAGAGATCTCCCAGGATTTGGTAATGTAGGCTAGGCAGATGTCTCTTATAGTAACATATTTACCTCCATTGGTCTTTATCCCAATGGTCTTTAATCCTGGCAGTTTGCTCTTATTAAACTACAAGCATTGTCTCAGTCTGTCCTAGTCTTTTGAAATAATTTGACTTGCAGTAAGGAGAAACCACAAGTTTCTCCTTACTGCAAGTCAAATTCTTACCTTTGTAAGCCATTTCATAGTTTTCTTTGGATCCCTGTAGTGGGTTTCTAGATGAGCCCATTGATAGCTGATGGCAGTTTCTGTGACAACAAACCAGCCACTTGGATTTTTGAATATTACTAGCCTTCTCTTGTTAGATTGGTTACAAACAAACAACAACAACAAAAAACCCTGTTTAACTAGATGTTGCTTATTCTGCTTCTTATTTACATTCTCTTAAACTGGAGCAATATTCCCTAGAAAAGCAAGCCTCTAGCCATAGACACTTTTAGAGTTGGAATTATATATAGTTAGATAGTTAGAATTACATGTATTTCAAATTAGCATTTTTCTAAATTGGTCTATGGAAAATTGGTCCTGAAGGATATTCAGTTATAAAAAGGTAGGTATGTAAGGGTACAGTGGAGATTTATAGTCAAAATTAGGAAGTGATATTACTGAGTCCTCCTCTTGAGAGTTTTAACTTGCAACAAAGAAACTCTTGCCATCACTAAACCCAGTGTTTTCTAACCTTATTTGACTATTGAACCTGTTTTCCTATGTTACATATATTAATATATACTATACTTTAGATAAATAGGCTATTTTTTAAATTGAAGTATATAGTTACCAGTAAGATTGTTACCATTGTTATCTGTTTGTTAACTATCAGGTACTTGACAGAGGAGTTCAGAAATAATGCTAATATTGCTGTTAACATCATGATTAGGGCTTCAATAAGTGTCATAGAAATACTGTTTTTATTTCACAGTAGGGCCAGGGTTCACCAGGACAGTGACATGCATAGCCCTTGGTTGATAGTTTAATACCATGCTTATCTCAGTTTCTTTCTTATCAAGTTGATCAAAAGTCAGGATGTTTTACTGGATGTTTTATTTTGACTATCCAAATGGTAGCAATTTACAGATTTGTGTTATTTATGAACCTGTTATCCTTACAGATAGAGCACTGTATTGACTTTGCACAATGCTTATGATTTATTATTTATCTTCCCTGATCATTTTCCTAATAACATACTTTTTCTGTATTGAATATAGTGTAGATACAAATTAATTGTACCACTTTTTTTTTCTGAAACTAATCTTTGTGCTACAAGTGCCAGCTTGACAGATTTGCAGTGATCAGAACTTCTGAAGAATAATATCTCACCAATAACAAATCTAGATATTTTAGTCACTGCCATAAACATTTTTGATAGGATTCTGAAATTTTAAATTTTTTCTGTCATTTGGAAAGAGAATTTTTTAAAATTTGTATTGGAATAACTGATTATCTCTTCAGTTTAAAGTTGTATTATCCATGGTAGTGGAAAACAATGAACAAATAGATAACAAAGCCCTTGAAAAGTATTCAGAAGTTTGCTTTAACCATTAGTTCCAGCTCTCTCTCTCTCTCTCTACCAAATCTTTTAGCCAAGTTTGTAAGCAAATGTATTGGTTACAATTAGGTTCAAGTGCCAATGATAGAAAAACTCCAAATGACTATGTTTAAACAAGAGAGTTATTTCTCTTTCATATAATGAAGTGCTGGAAGTGAGCAACCCATGCTCTACTCCTTAGGCTCCCAAGAGGTCCTGACCTCTAGATCACTGCTCTGCAGTCTCTTTATGTCATACATTTGATCTCCTGGTTTATGGTGAAACTCCAGCCATCACATCTCCAGGTCAAGCAGCAGGAATGGAAAAAGACATAATACCTTCCTTTATGGACCCTTTCCAGAAATTGCATGCCTTTTGAGGACTCTTTCCTATTATCCAGAACTTAATACTTGTAGTTTGAAAATTGGGGAAATATAGTTTTTATTCTGGACAGCCTGAATTAATTTTGCCCATTTATTTGTCTCTGTTTTTCCAAAAATATGTGAACCAAAAAATGTTTTTTGTTTACTTTTGTTCCTGGTTTCTAGAGTGGTGCTAGTACATAATAGTAGCACAAATATTTATTGAAAACTGAATAAACCAGTGAACATAAGGAAGTAATCATTATAAATCTTCACTATTTTGTTTTCTTTTTGTCTTCTCGTAATAACTTTGATACCTGATCATAACAAAATCAAATGAATCTCCTAAAAGAATATACTTAAAGAAACATTATTAAAGCATATAAAGCCCAAGATCTGAAATGTTAAATCCTTAATTAATAGCTGCTTATCCTATAATGATGACATAAGTATTGGATACCTTCAGTAACTGACAATGATTAATGTTATCATTATTTTTGTGTTGTATTTTCAGTCTGTAAAAGCCTCACTTAACCCAGAGCTGCTATCCTAATGAGTACTATTAGAATTTCCACACAGTTTTAGAACCTGCCAAGGTGCCACCTTCATTAAAGAGATATTATATACCTATCTAACTATATTTATATATATAAAATAAAAGATACTAGGCCTAGTGACCAGCAACAAGGTCAAAATGGTAGGCATAAAAGAATAGCACATAATCCTCCAATTCTCCATGAGAGATTGAAGACTTGAGATTGCTTTCAGATTTAATTCATAAATGTCCTCTGTCAGTTCTGTTAAGTGGAGTTTTAAGTAAGTGATTACTCTTGCTGTTTTGTGAAATCATGGCAGATCTGTAAGATGAATGGGTAAATCTATATTAACAAGGATGTGGGTATATTTACATGGAAGCAAACAATAAGAGATGATTAACAATATTCTAACAAGCTCTAAACAGTTTGCATTTCTGAGCATAACATATAAAAGCTTGGAATTGTTTGATTTCCAGATTGAAGACTATGATGTGATAGCTAGCATGATAGGAGCCAAGTGTAAAAAGCTCCGCACCCTGGATCTATGGAGATGTAAGAATATTACTGAGAATGGAATAGCGGAATTGGCTTCTGGATGTCCACTTCTGGAGGAACTTGACCTTGGCTGGTGTCCTACTCTGCAGAGCAGTACCGGGTGCTTCGCCAGATTGGCACGCCAGCTCCCAAACTTGCAAAAACTATTTCTTACAGCTAATAGATCTGTGTGTGACACAGATATAGAAGAACTTGCATGTAATTGTATCAGATTACGGCAACTGGACATATTAGGTAAGGATGCAATATATAAATTTTTTTGAAAGCCTGTTTCCTTGACATAAAACCTAATATCATATTTTTTTCAAGGAAACCACAAAGAAACGTAACAAAATTTTTCCCAAGAAGACTGCTTGGTTTGATAGAAAATATAAGAAATAAGGAATAATTATATATATATATATATATATATATATATATATATGTGTGTGTGTGTGTGTGTGTGTGTGTATACACACACTTAAGTAAGTTACAACTGTATTGTTGAACATGTCACAAGTTCTAAATAACTATTAATTCTTGGTCTAATTAGAAGAGAGAATTTAGGTGAACTGTGTTCTCCATTTTTCTTGAGGAGAAATGAAGAAATGAATCCATTTTAAAATGAATTCAAGTTAGATTTTCTTTTAAAGTTTCTTAATGTTGAACTGTTAATAAAGGAATGTTATGATGTCTCCCTCCCTGCTAATTTCAGTTTTTAGAAATAGTTCTACCCTGAGGCAGATCTCTTGAAAATTCTTTCCAGTTCTGGGATTCCTTGTGTCCTTATTGCATTCATCAGCAAGGAGCCCTTTGAGATGTCATTACTTACTTCTTATCTTATTCAAAGGTGCTAGTGGTGCCACTGTAGTTGTCATTGCCCACACAACTGGTAATTTGTGATCTCACATAGCACTTGAACTGTTTTCTGGCAGTCTGTTACTACTAATTTACAATTGATTAGTCCATAAAGTACATGTGTATCCCTTCCTCTTTATTAAACATTCAACAAAAGGAAAACCTGAAGATTCTCAACATCTATGTTTATAGTTTCAGTTAAAATCTCTCCACATTCAGGTTTATGATACATTTGTGATGCTGCTTATGTTGTTGCACATTACTTATTCAAACTACTTTTAGGCCTCTCATGTGCACACTTCGGATTAAATACTTCATCTGTGTGATATTTTATTTGATCTTCACAGCTCTGTTTTCATAGGTGAGGGTACTGGCACCCAGTGGTTAATAAATGGCAGAGAAAAGGTTCAAATCTAATGTCTTTGGTTCCATAGTCAGTACTTTTTTTTTTCTTTTTTTTGGTCACACCATAACTACTCTATGGTTATTTCTTTTCCATCCTACCTATCTTTCCTATTGAATTGTCCTAAGCCTTTTGTAAGATAAATATTTCAAAAAGTTCAAGAAAAAGCTGTGAATTCACAAGAACATGAGTTTCACTTCAGAAGATAGTGCTGTTGCTGGTTAAAATCTATTTTTTATAACTCCTTCCTCAAAAACAAACAAACAAGCAAAAAACCATCATATACTGACTTGCACAATAGCCAATGTCTGGAGTAGATACTACAGAACTATGAAAGTGTCAGGAACACTGATTCTAAGCAATGCTCAATTGTGATGAGCAGTGGGGTTGGTTGTCAGGTGATCTAAATTTGGCCTGTTAATTGTGTGGTTGAGGGAGTATAACTCAGTGGTAGAACATTTGACTGCAAATGTATGAATAGTTTTATAGAGATGTAAAAGAAAAATAAGTATAATGACTCTCTTTGGGAGAATCTGTTCTAACCACTGTGTTGCATTTTCTTTACTTCTGTTGTTGTTTGATTTTCTTTCATTTTTAAGTGTTATAAGGCTTTTTTGAAAATAAGGATTCTCAGTTCAATCAAGGCAATAGTCATTATTTTGTCATTGCTCGATAGAAGTGTTAAGTGGCATACCTGCTTCACAGTGAAAATGCTTCTCATCAGTACAAAGCTGAGTGAGTAGTATATTCCTTCCTTTAAAGAGATTATAACTAGGGGCTGTGGCTGTGGCTCAACGGTAGAGTGCTTGCCTCACACATGTGAGGCACTGGGTTCAATCCTCAGCACCACATAAAAATAAATAAATAAAGTAAAAAGATATTGTGTCCATCTTTAAAAAAAGAGATTATAGCTAGTAAGAAGGAGAAAAACAATCATAATACAAGCCAGAGGCAAGTCCATTTTAATGGGGCTCAGAAAAAGATAGCATATATGATTACAGAATAAAGGAAGTTTATTATTATAATTAACCTTTATTTAAAAGGTTAGTAGATATTTTAAAGACATCCTTGAAAAGTGATGAGGAAATGGGAAGGGATGACATTGTAAGCACAAAGAACAGCATGAAGCAAAATATAGCAGTTGATTTTCAGACTACCTTTAGAGAACAAATCATCGAATTTAATTGTATATATCTATTTTGTTATTACAATGAAAGCTTTAATGGAGAATTTTGAACACTGGGATGAAAAAATCTGCACAAAATTAAGTGAGGAATAGCTATTATGGGATTTTTTTAGTTAGGAGAATGAATGACATATTCATGGCCACGTTTTACCTGGGAATGCATAGCAAGTTGATTGGAAAAGGAAGAGATTAAAATCAGAGAAATTTGTTGCAGTAATCCATGTAATGAGGGTCCAAACCAAAGTGATGGTATTGGGAATTAACCAACAAATACAAAAATACAAGCTACTTCGGAAGCATATTTAAAATTTAAATTTTAAAGTTGAGTTCCTTCACAGAATTCTTTAAGGCTTTACAGAACTCGTTGTTCATCAGGAAACTCAGGTTCTATTGGGCAAGACAAGCAAATAACAATCACAATCCTGAGTTTAAGAAAACGAACAACTAAGTGTCTAGGGTTGAAGTTGTCACAAAACAGAAAACCAGAAGCCCACTTAGAATAACTTAAGCATAAAGAAAAGAAAATTATTATAAAGATATAGTTTTATCGCTTAGATCCCATGAGATCTCTCTTCTTCATTCATTCCTCCTCCCTCTCCCTCCCTTCCTCCCTTCTTACTTTTCCTGTCCTGTATGCTTTAGTTCTGTCTCCTACCCCACCCTCTGCAACTTTGTATTCACAGACTTTTATGTGTGCTTTTCCCTTGACTTTTCTTGTTTTTTCTGATCCTCATAGTCACCTATGCTTCTCTGGGTGTACATGGCCAAATATAACAGGTGCAGCCCACTGTTACCTGTCTATAGAAATAGTAATTTGTGGACATTGAAGGCTTTGCCCAATCCCAATTCTAAATTCCCAGGGGGAATCTGGATTGATTTACCTTGGGACCAGTCACAGATGGTGACAATAGAATTTAGCTCTGGAGCCCACAACAGGGAGGGGAATAGAAAAGAGTTACCAGAGAACGAGGCTTAAGTTAACATTTCAGAAATCCTAATGCCCTTCCTACTAGATGTATATATATGATGATTGTGATTGTTTCTCCCCAGAAAAGAGAGAGTTAAAGCAAGGTATGTTTTACAACAGATCATCTCTTAGAATCAAGTGATATTTGGTATTTATTAAGTGCCTACCATGTATCAGATGCTTTACATAATTAATTTAGCATCTAACTAAATATCCCATGATTGCTTCAGTTTTAACATGGACTAAAATAACTCATCACCCATCACCTACCATTCACTGTAAAACTTATCAAATTTTGTTATATGTATTTGTTTTCAATGCTGGTCAGTGAGTTCCTGAGGCAGACATGAGTCTTATTCATCTTTGCATTTCCAGTCCCTAAAACTGATACTCAATACTTAACAGAGTAGTTGCTCAGTAATTACATTGCATGGAATTAGAGGTTGAATTATTATAGACATTGCTGCCTAATTTGACCTGTGGGTTAAGGAAAATGAGATGTGAAAAACATTTTACACTAGAGTGATAGAAGTAGGAAAGTCTAGATGAACTGATTAGAAGGGGTCAGAAGTAGAAATATAAATGGCAGGTAGATGACTGACAATATTCAGATCCTGGATGCCACATTGCCTAGGAAAACTCAATGATTTTTTTTGTTGTTGTTGTTGTTATTGGTTTTTTTAGTAGAACTATTTCAATATGAAGACTTTTATTTTAAAAATGCTTTTAATTTTTAAAAGGACATTTATTTTAAGTATATTTTAAATAAAAAGGGACTAAAAATAGGACATTTATAATATTATATTTAAGTTATTTTGTTTGATTTTGTTTTTTCAAACAGGAACAAGAATGGTAAGTCCAGCATCCTTAAGAAAACTCCTGGAATCTTGTAAAGATCTTTCCTTACTTGATGTATCCTTCTGTTCACAGATTGATAACAGAGCTGTATTAGAACTGAATGCAGCCTTTCCAAAAGTGTTCATAAAAAAGAGCTTTACTCAGTGACTTAATATATATTATGTCACTAAAAGTTGATATGCTTTGTAAGGATTTTATTTGGGGGTGGTTTGGTTGTATCTTTTGTTTTTATAATGGTGAGAATTAAGACATTTGTGGATTTTAAAGAAAAATATGAAATTTCCCATTGAATCAAGTAAAAAATGTGAAGAAATGTTCTCACAAAATACTGTAAGCCATTTTCATCAAGAATATGTTAGTCACTGATATTATTTTTACTTTGTGTTAAAGTGGAATTATGTTTTAATCAATAATTGTGTTAATAAAAGAATAATATGAAAACATTTTTAACTTATTTTTAAAGGGACACTTTAAGCATTAAAGTATCATGATATTTATGCAAAAATAAAGTTTTTTTCACACTTCATGTAAGGATGCCTCATTAAAGCTTTATGACTCAGCATATATTTTGTCTGGTATATTCAAAATTGTCAGAGCTAGTTGGGGAAAGAGACATGTTTTTCCATCTAAGTTTTTTTTAAACTGTTCAACAGGAAAATAAGTTTTTTTTCACTTCTAATATTTATCTGTTTCATTACTAGATGTTGCCAATATAAAAATCTAGGCATTGGGGCTGGAGTTGTGGCTCAGCAGTAGAGTGCTCGCCTCATATGTGCAACACCCTAGGTTCGATCCTCAGCACCACATGTAAATAAATAAAGGTATTATGTCAACTACAACTAAAAAAAAAAAAAAATCTAGGCATAAGGAAGAATAAGAGGTAAACTACTAATTGAAATAACTTTCTGTTAAACAGATGCCATGAAAATTTGCCAGAGGAAAAGGTTTAAGGCTTTTGAATTACATGTAGATTTTAATTACATTTAAAAATCATATATGTGGGTTTTAAAATTTTTTCCTGTGCAATAATAACTTTAATGATTAGAATTCAGCTACAGTTAAGGGGTGGCAAGAGAGAAAGGTCAAAACAACAAAAAAAGCAAATATTATTTATTAAATAGTGAATTGATTTAATTTTGTTATTAAGAAAGTAGACAGAAAATATTTTGTGGCATGGAAAGGTAAGGCTGTTTTGAATAACAAACTAAAACTGTGTAGTGTAACAAACATTATTTGCCACTAAAGGCAAAAATGTTCTACAGTGATCCTATAGAATATGCTGTCCAATTTTTAACTTTAGTTAAATCTAAAATACATTTTCTCATTTGCACATGTTCACTAGTCACATAAGGCTACCTACTAGTTATCATTTTGGACACACAGATATAGAACATTTTTATCATTGCAGAAACTTTGGGGGGTGGGGTGGGGACAGGAGTACTCTTAAGTTTCTTGTTATAAGAGCTATTCATTTAAGAAAAAAGCACATTAGCTCTTAATATATATCTTTAAGCAAATTTTGAGGGTTCTGTCAATAGTACATATATTGAAACACTTTTTCCCTCAAAGTTCTTAAGCTAGTAAATTTGGCAAATAGTAGACATTCAGTATATATTTACTGAATGTAAATAAATAAATAAGAATGTTATTTGTATATGCTATTGACTTCTAAAATGTCAGTTTTAAACTGTAAATTTTAAAATTTAATAGTACTATTTAATCTTTTGTAAACTATAAAGAGTATAATATGAAATTTAAAACATTAAAACATTAATACAAGCTGGGCATGGTGCCCTATGCCTGTAATCTCAGCGACTTGGGAGGCTGAGGCAGGAGGATAGCAAGTTCAAACCCAGCCTCAGTAACTTAGTGATGTCCTAAGCAACTTGGTGAGACTCTGTCTCTAATAAAATGTTTTTTAAAAGGGCTGAGGATGTGTCTTGATAGTTAAGTGCTCCTGGGTTCAATCCCTGGTACCCCCCCCCAAAATTATACAATCTCTTCTATATTAAAAAAAAGTATATATATGTATATATATGAGAATTGCCATCCTGATCATACCAATAGTATGCCCACTCAGACTTCTGTTTGAGGGAAGAGGTTGGGAGCAGTTGGGAAAAGGGCTTGGTTATCCTTTATCTTTGTACACTACAATTTTCTTTTCAGTCTTTAATGTATGTAAACATTTCAAATGTCTTATTCAAAAAGGTGAGGAGATGTATAATTTGATTATCAACTGACTGAAGTCTACCATTATCTTAAGCTGGAAGCTCATAGTAGTTAAATTCTTTGTACCAGGTACTGATTCCAGTGCTGTGCATTTACTAATTCACTTAATCCTCACAGCAACTTTACAAAATAGATTCCATTACTTAGTCCTATTTACAGATGAGGAAATTGAAGCAAAGGACTTTCCTAATGATCATATAGCTGTGGGTGACAGAGCCAGCATGCAAAACCAGGTCATTTGGATTTAGAGGCATTGCATTTAACCTGTACTTTTAAGCATCTAGGGTGGCATCTGGTTCTAGAATAAAGGTTGAGAATCATTTTTCTGTAAAGGACCAGATAGTAAATATGGGACTGTGGCCAAGAGGAAAAATTGAGATTATTGTGGAAAGTAAGTAAATGGAGAGAAAACAGATTTCTACAAAATTTTTGATGAATTCAAGACATAATAATTGAGAATTTTTTTTCTGTTTTTAAAATATGACTCTACCAATGAGAAGAATTAAATGACTTTGGGAGTATCCTTTCTCTTAACTGTAGTTCAAAGTTAGTATGTCCTATCATCAAAATGATAGGGACTGGCAAGCTGGGGTTGTGGTTCAGTAGTAGAATGTTTTTCTCCCATGCGTGAGGCACTGGGTTCGATCCTCAGAACCACATAAATAAAATAAAGGTATTGTGCCCATCTACAACTAAAAAAAAAAAAAATCTTTTTAAAAAAAAATGATAGGGACTGTGATGTAGATCAGTGGTGTATGTATGAAGCTGTAGGTTCAGTCCTAACAGTGAAAAAAAATTTTTATCGTAGGTATTCATCTGCTAATGCTAATTTGAAAGATTTTACATATTTCATCTTTTCTTAAAAGTAGGTATTATCAAATACTTAAATTAATCCATGAGAATATTATTTTTGTTGGTCATATCTATCACTTGGAAGGAAGGCATTGATAGAATTAGGTTATTTTTTATTTCTCTTGATATTTTTCTTTTAGCATGTTATTACATTGTAGACTAATCACTTCCAATTGAAGATTAAGTGGAAACTCCTCTTTGGCACAGTTAAATAGATTTGGGGAAATGGAGGTTTCATTTGCATGGCTTGCATCAAGGCCCCCAAAACACTCCTAGACTGAATTACAAATTTGTGTAGTGGAGATCTTGCTACTTGTTTGCCTTTTGATAGTACAGGAAGTATATAAAGCAGCTGGATCTTACTTGTGATTAAAATGTTAATTGTCATCAAAATAATATAAAGGTATTTCACATTTAAACACTGGTTTTTGACACAGTGTCATGCCTGTAATCCCAGTGGCTCAGGAGGCTGAGACAAGAGGATCTCGAGTTCAAAGTCAGCACCAGCAAAAGCAAGGCACTAAGCAACTCAGTGAGACCCTGTCTCTAAATAAAACACAAAATAGGGCTGGGAATGTGGCTCAGTTGTTGAGTGCCCCTGAGTTCAATCCTCAGTACCAAATAAGTAAATAACTAAACAAACATAAACAAACAAATAAAATAAACACTGGTTTTGCTTTGTAATATTTGGTTGAATTCATTACAAAACACCATCAAATCAGCAGCAAAATCCAAATTCCAAAACAATTTACTGTGAGATTTAATCCTACAATCATGATTGAGGGCATTTCTTCTTGTACAGAAAAAATTTTTAATATCAGCCCTAAGCTCAGAAACTCATCATAAATCTCATATGACCATTAAGCCATAAACTACTATGTGGGAAAGCAAAGCAAGGATATTCTGTTTCTATATCTGATGAAAGATAAAAGAACTGTTGATGTATAAGTCTGTGAGAGTAAATGATGTTCTCTGTTAACACTATTAGTTCAGTAATACAAGATAGAGTACAATATATTTCACAAAATACCTATTAGTGAATAATATAGTAAGTAACCACAGGTTTTAAACACCTTACATTTTTAAAGGTTTTGCTTTGTAAGTTTAACCCGCTAAATCTTGTTTTGGACCACACATATTTTTACTGCTACCAGTTGTGACATATCTTAGCAGATTCTACATCAGGTTGTATGTAGTTTATGTTTTCTTAGAAAATATTCTTGTCTGTAATTGTTTTGCACAGACAATTCATAGAGACCAACTCTTCACTCCCTTTATCCTTGTCATTGATTCATCAAATAAACAATAACTAGGCAGTATCAGTCACATGTGTTGACTCATCAGGAGCCAAGGAAGACCACTCATGGTCATTTGTTTTATTATTTTTTCTTCTGTTGACTGTTGATGTGGTTCCTAGAGTTCTCAGTTCTTCAGCTGTTCTTGCCAAAAGTCTAATAGTCATGAGCATGTTACTTTTCTTCAGCTGATGCAGTAAAAAGATTGAAATCAGTAAAAGGCTTTCCTTTCTTTATACCAATTCAGTCCTTTACTTTGACAGCTTGATTTTCATAAATTAATTCTGCTGTGGTGAGTTATCTTGTTTTAAATTTTCTAATTTTTCTGACCACTACATTCCTATAAATTAAAGATTTTGTAATGAGTGTTTAGCTTGGTAATTTTAACACATTCTTTGAGAGCAACTATTTCATCATTGCATGTTAAATACCATGCATTGCCATCAAATTTTATAACAAAATAATCTTCATTCTATTATGCCTTAAATGTATTATCACTTGAAGTTTACTTTTGTTTTGACATTATAGGTAGACATTGTTAATAAAGGATATGTGTGTGTGTGTGTGTGTGTGTGTGTGTGTGTGTGTGTAAACAAATTTCAGCATCTCATTACCTTACTTTCAAAACTAATTTGTTTCAGGATACTGCTTTAATATAATGGAAGGTTTGGGTATGTACGTGTGTGTGTGTGTACACAATTTGTGGTATTCAATATACTGATAGTATAATTTTTAGTGTACCAAGCAGCAGTGCAGAATGCTGAGAGTATCACATGAGTCTCAACTCTACCACTGTGGTGTGAAAACAATCATAGATAATACATAAATCAATGAATGTGTCCAAATTCCAATAAAAATTTGTGGACAATGAAAGTCAAACTCTACAGAGTTTTAATGTGTTACAAAATATTTTTTTCTAGCCATTGAAGAACAGCTTTGAAGGGCAGGCTGGATTTGGTTTGTGAACTTAATTTCTAGCCCCTGTGCTAGAGTATTATCAAATCAGTTAGTATATTCAGGTTTGTCCATTTCTAATTTTATAAGCCATATTCAAACATATTCTCAATTATATTTCTCATTTTACTATTTAGATTTTAAAATAGAATATTTTGTTTACCATAACAAGAGT